ATAATTAAACTCATTTAAAATCTGTGTACTTGTGTATTTTGCTGGGGGGGGGGCTGGACCTTTGCAAACACTGGGATTCTCATCAGCCATTCTGCCTCACCCTACTACCCCTCTGCCATGGGGCAACATGGATGAGCTTCCAGAGCTCCAAAAAACATCAAAAGAAGAAGAAAAAGTGTTAGGCCTACCCACTGCACAGAGCAGCGAGTACACATACCTTGCACTTCTCCTTGTCACTGAACTGTCTGAAAGCCATATAATACAATACTAGTCAGAGCTATGATTTGTAAATTGTAGGGCTTGATTGCCACTTAAATACCTACTAAAATACTATTTTGGTTGCACTAGAAGTAGAAAAGTGTGATTTTTTTGTTTATAAACTTTGTTTCTTTTGATGCCTCAGCATAGTGACAAAGCAGAGTTTTTAGATTTCCTCACGTTCAATTTTGAGTCCTATAAGTAGACCAACAAAGAATTATAGACTACCACTCTACCAGTATTATCATATTATTCATTTATACAATTTTGGTCAAAATTTTTAATAAATGAGGAAATTAAAATGAACTGATTCTAAAAAAATTTCTTATTTGTCACTATGGTCAAGCCCAGCAACTTGGTGCTACTGGGCTGAGTGGGCTCTGCCCACTCTGGCAAGGATGTTGGCAATGATGATAGAGCCCCTGCCATAGCCATCAAAGTGACAAACCACAGAATTTTTAAAATCATTCCATTTCTAATTTTTCTTATGATGATCTTATCTACTCAAGATTCAAACCAATTCCTTATGTATGAAGTATGATAAATTGATAATGCTGGTATCCATGATACTTAATGGGTCTACTTATACTCAAACTCAGAATAAGATAGCAGAATAAGCTTGTTTAAACAAAAGGGATTAATGACCAGAGAATTCATTGATTAAAATTTTCAAGATCAAACAAAATTCTTCAGATAATGTTGGTTGACAAAAATGTAGTTTCAATGAAGTAATTTAATTTATTAAAAACATTTCAAATGTGACAACATTCATATTCAGGTTACAGGAAGTATTGAAAACTAAAATTTAGGCAGCAATAAGTACATGATACATGTAAATATGATACAACACAAAAATTTGGAACTGTGAAATTAATTCTGAAACAATCTCAAGGTTCTAAAAATCCGGTAGATATGAGACGGATAGTTGGAGTCCAATCCATGGAGATGAAGGCTTCAGCTATTGCCGGTTGGATATGTTGGGCCACTGCAAGATGACAATGCTGGTGGGCTCCTCCAGCACAGTGGGAAATGTTGTCAAGAGTGTCACAGAGCCTTTTGAATTCAGCAACATTGAGCAGCCCTTTATCCTGCCACCTAAGACAAGCTCTCAACCAGATCAGGTCTCTAAGTATCAAAATCAAGCAACTTTATCTCAAGACCTGTGATGAATTCAACTGGCTCCAATGCTCCGTGACACACTTGACAACAATATCAAGTCCCAAATTATACACAGCAAAGGCCCCTTCAAAAAAGGAGTTCTCCAAGAATCTTTTTATAATTATACTATAAATTTTGCTTCAAAGAAGTTGTAGACTTCTTTGACTTTTGGACTACATTGGAGTAACTTCAATGACATCAAGCAGTCATTCTTCCTGCCACATGAGACAAGCTAGCAACCAAACCAGGTATCAAAGTATTACAATTGAGCAACATCATCTCAAGATCCGCAATGAATTTAACAGGCTCTGTGACACCCTTGACATTGATGACAACTTCCACTGTTCTGAAGGAGCCCACCAGCATTGGCATCTTGCAGTGGCCCACCATATCTAACTGACAATAGCAAGAGTCTTCATCTCTGTGGAATGGACTCTAGCTATCCATCTCGTAACTACCGGATTTTCTGAACCTTGAGATCGTGTCGGAATTATTTTAACACTTTCAAATTTATGTATTCTATCATATTTACGTGTATCATGTACTTATTTCCATCTAAATTTAAGTTTTCAATGCTTCCTGTAACTTGAAAATGAATGTGAATATTGTTTGATCTTGAAAATTTTAACAAATGAATTCTCTGGTCATTAAGCACTTGTGTTTATACTCAAAGTTAAGCAATTTTGCATTTAGGTTGAATATCACTACATAGCAACATAATTAGATTAATAACTGAATCCACTTTGAAAACCAGTGATAACAAAGTTTTCATTAAAACATTTTAATAAAGCTTGTATAAATATGTCATCTCGGACATTTCCTCTACTCAGACAGGTCAGTTCTTCATTCCATTGATACTCCCTGAAGAGTTTATATACTGTATACCATCAAATGGGGTAATAAGGGATGATTGCAAGCATTTTTTTCAAAGCTTCTTGGTTCTTACCATGCAACATTTCTTAAACAAATTTGGGCTCATTTTAAAGGTCTTTGTGAGGACTATTGTATGACATCTCCAAAAAGAATTCTATATGCTATTTGTAAGTTGTAACTGCATGAGAAAAGCATCGCGAATTACCCCTGTGAATGAAATGGGGTAATTTAGGACTCTTGAAATAAAACCTAATTTTAAAATGTTTGAAGCATGCAGAGTGTACTCATCCATTACTAACAGTACTACTACTCCAATGTCCTCCTCTTACTTTGTAAGAGATGTAAATATGGAATAAATGACATTCCTCTACTGATATTATATTACAATATCCATACATTACCATATTATATATATGGGTCAAGTGTCTAGTGAATTCTCATATAACAAAATGGGTCTAGTGAATTCTCTATAACAATAAAAAAATATTGTAAAAAGACATACCTAGAAAAGATAGGAATATTTTAGTGACAACCATCATATTTTGTGAATAAATAAATCATAATTTAGGTCAATTACTTGTCATTCTATGTTGCCTGGCACACAATTCTGTCCTTACATTCAATGTGCAATTTTTTGATGATTGATGCTGCATTAATTTTTAGTTAAGTGAAACTTTTTCACTGAGAGATCTAAATGAAATCAAAGATCTTTGTTGATAATTGATTTTTTTGCTAACCAAGGTTCTACTGTAAATGCGTTTTCAGGGGTGTCCCGTAATACCCCATTGGGATGTCCCTTAATACCCCTTTGTGCAGAAATGGTCACTTTTTGTTTTGGATTGAGGTACAAGAATTCAGTCAATAATGTTTTAAAGCCAACACCTGTCTGTGTAACTTGTTTTCAAGCAAAACTTTTTAATATGGTAGATATTTTTTTTAATACAGACCACCTTATCTATAACAGAAGTAGGTACATTTTCAAAATATCACTTATTAACATTTTTTCAGGGATTTTTAGAGCTAGGAAATGTATATTTTCTTCACTTCCTTTATGCTACATAGATAGGTGAAATATTGAAGTTTATGCCACTATTTTTAGTTTAGCAATATTTTAATTAGTTTTGCTGCTATAACATTTTTACGCCATGGTGGAGGACAGTCCCAATTTAGCCTGCCCGTCCCTTATTACCCCTTTTGTCAGTATTTGATTTTGAAATTAATACACATAAAAGGTTCATAGTCATAGGTTATGATTATCTGAGCAAAAAGACGAGCCAATTGCAATTATCATATCATGCAAGATGCATCATAATATCATATCATGAACATTTTAATTACATTATTGTAGCTATAAACTAACATACTTTAGTACTGTACATTTTAAATCTTGTGAAGTTGGAATTGTATTTGTAAGTATGATGGTCTATGTAGGTATACAAATTAATCAAGCTGGGCTGAGGCTCTAAGCTAAGTGATTTGTGTGCTGCCAAAATCAGACTGGAGAGTTGCACATTTTAGCCAATTTACATTGTCATTAAATAAATCTGCATGGTACACCTAAATATATTGAAAAAGAATGTACCAGGCCCTCAGCCCTGGGTGGCTGGGCCAAGGGCCATGATGCCATGCAAGAAACTTTGCATAAACTCTATTATAATTCGTGATAGTTTAGTAGAAATTTTTTTTTTGTAAATTCAGCTGCTTTTGTATTTATTATTTTTATATACTATAGAAGAGCAAAAACAATTTTATGGCATTGTCCAAACACTTGGCATTGCTCAAATTTGTGTGCTATGATAATAGCCATCTAAATATTTTTCAAAGGAAAGTAATTAAAGTTATTTGAAGCAAGTATTTACCATATATTTTGTTTCTTATCTGTTCCTGATAGTGATCTTTGTAGTTTGATATGTCAATTCATTTCAGTTGGGCTACCTGGAGAAGAATCATGTAAGAGTAAAGGATCCTGTGAAGACAGAAGAACTCTTGCAAAGGCTCATTTCTGGAGGCTTCCCAAAGCTTCAGGTATATATAGGTAAATAAGTATCTAATTATTTAGTAGACATTATAACGATTATTTGAGCCAAAGAATTTGGCTGCCACGGCGCACTAACACACCAATTACTATTTTTCAATCTACATCTGAAAGACTATCTTAGAACCTAAGGTCAAACTTTCATAAGATGACATACCTAGTACCCATTTTCATGAGTCAAGACTAGCAAAAAATCTCTAATTGCTCAAACTAGTCATTTATTTTCAATAAGCATAGGTGTTAAGTTTGATTTGTTTTTCATTCTTTATTGCTCAATTGAATTTTGTCCTACTTTTATATAATTTTTTACACTCGAATTCAAATCCCTTTTAGGTCTGAAGATATGAATACCTATGCCCTTTCTATGGGGGTCTCTAACTAAACATTTTCAAAATATTTTTATGCATTATATTTTTATCTAGAAACTTTTTAATGATGCGGCTTTAGTTTTCTTTATGAAGCTTTTATCTTGTGACAATAATTTGCAGCTTTATGTAGAGTTGTCTCTATTCTTATAAGCCAACATTTTTGGCCCATGGTGAAAAAAACAAATTTAATACTCCTTACTAAAAGGCTCTTCGCATTGTTAGGAACATCATCTTCAACAGTCCGCAGTAAAATTCATGGTACAAGCTACAATGAATATTGGAATAGGTGAATTCTTTAATCTTATTTATTTTACATCTTATCATTCATTTCTCTGACATTCCATGTGAACATGAGTAAGGCTTCAATATGCTGCTGTTTGATTAGAAATTTAAAGTACTTCTAGTGCTGAAATATTGATAAGTCTTCCCAAGATTTTTCAAATAAATTGTTCCGAAGACCCGATTTTTTTTAATTTACATTTTTGCCACCTGCTGTCTAATTGCAGGTTTTGAATGCCTTGTCAACCCTTGTCACCATTCAGTGTCATGTTGTATAGGTTCATAGCCTCTATAAGTTTATATGTGTCTACATTCACCAGATTGTTGCAGACTTTGACTACACGCTCACACGTGTGCATGATGAAACAGGAAAGCGGCTGCACTGTTCTTGGGGTGAGACTGGATTTTAAAATAATTGTGTAGCTAGTAGTGTATTCAATTCTTTGATTAGGGAAAAGATGCTTATAAAAATTAAAAATTAGATGAACAAACTTTGCACTAATATTTTTGATGTAGGAAAAATTGTATTTTTGTTTTGAAGTCATGAATTGTATTTTTGTTTTGAAGTCACGTAGTAATAATGCACAGGTGTCCTGGACAACAGTCCTCTCATGCCTGAGTTCTACCGCCCTGAGTCGAAGGTTCTGCTTGACAAGTACTATCCTGTGGAGATAAGTCCTCATCTGACAGAGCAAGAGAAGGTGACGAAAAAATATTATGAAAATCCATCTATATAATGTTTCTTGTGCCACAAACTTTCCACATAATGAGCTTCTTGAGTAATTTTAATTATGTTATTAACTAATCCTATTTCAGAACAAGAGAACATATAGGTAGCAGTTCGAAAATGTCAATTATACTCATGTTAATTCCAATAAACAACTTAAAACTGAAGATTTCCTTTAAAGATTCAACCACATCATCTATTAATCGCAATTGACACATCACTTGTTACAGATCCCGCAAATGGTAGACTGGTACAAGCAGGTGCAGGAGCTACTGGCCAGATCACGCATCACCAGCATCTCAGTTCGCCAGATGGTGGAAGAGAGCAACACACAGCTCAGGCAGGTCTGGGGGCGCTGAATTATTTCTAAAGTTACAATCTTTCTAAGTGCTAGGGATGAAGTGCTGTGAATGTCCTGCGATGTTAAGAATCGGCGACAGGCCTACGGCCTAATAAACGCTGAAACCGCTATCAAGTGAAACAAGAATAACGTTAATTATGTATGAGGTGTTTTGGTGGGATTAGACTGCAACTATCTTTCAAGTTCTATGGAGTGATACCTATCTCTTGACTGGAAAACGATTATGTGCCAAGGATTGCAGATAAAAGATGTGGTCAATACTTATTTTGGCTTTGCTGTTGTTTTCATGAAAATTGTATGTGGTTTTATTTAAATCCAAAATATTTTTATTGCCTTTCCAGATTTCACCCCAAGATTTTTAATTCACCCATATGATTAACCCTTGCATAAAGCTGATTTTATTGAAGAGATTTGGATGACCAGTGGTAATTCCCACCTGAATGTCAAGTTGATCATGTCCATTACACAGGATAGGCACCGAGTCATTGCTGGCAAGTCTGGAGGCGTCTGAGGTGCCGGTGTTGGTCTTCAGTGCTGGCATGGGTGATATCCTCATGCACATACTCAGGAAATTCCAGCTCTACTCTCCCAATGTCAAAATTGTTTCCAATTTTTTCAAGTATGACTACGAGGTAATGCTGTTCATCGGATTTAAAAATTGTTCTATCCATTCAAGAAGTGAAGCATTGAATCCAATTTGTTTTAAAATGACTGTTGGGCTGCACTGTCTTAGCAGCTGATTATTGTTCATCAATATAAATCGATATACCCTGATCCTTTTTTAACTTCTTATTATTGGCGATTTCATTATTGTATTAATTATGATTATTTTTGGGTTTAATAAGCGGTCGAAAAAACTTCCAGGATGAATTCAAACGAGTTTCATAATTCTCAGGACTGTGTAGTCGGATTTGAAAACGAAACGATACACATGTTCAACAAGAATGAAAATGTCATCCACTCGTCGCCTTACTTCAAGAACATGAGCGGCCGCAACAATGTCATCTTGTTGGGCGACTCTTTGGGAGACATCAAGATGGCTCACGGTGTTCCAGACCCAGGAGCCATACTCAAGATTGGCTTCCTCAACGACAAGGTGGGTAGTTGTCATATTCTCTATGTTTGTTGTATGTTGTTCTTCTTTATTAAAGCTTTACTTATGGAGGAATATTGATGTCCAAAGTTGTGTTATTAAAACAAGTTGTATGATATTCAGTTTATGTTGTGCATGTATTTGCCTGTATCTTTCACAAAGGCTCACTAAAAAGCCTGCAATTTCAGTATGAAAAGATTGTAGTCTTTCTCAATAGTAAAACGACTGCTACTGAGTAAAAAAATTAATTTTTGTGCCTATACAATGCGGATGTGAAGTATTTAAAATTTTTGTAATTCATTTAATGTATGGAATAAGAAGCATCATTTCAGGGCTCGTTGCTGCCGCAGGTGGAGGAGCGTCTTAGTTCTTACGAGGAGGCTTTTGACGTTGTGCTTATCGACGACCAGACCATGGATGCCCCCATGGCCATCGTGAAACTCATGCTCTAGTGGGCAAGCAGTGCCTACCTGCCAGTGCCCTGCCTTCGTTGTCATGAACAAGCCAAACTATTGATAAGCATAGCTACGAGATTCTGGAAATACCGAGGCAATACTGGACATTCTCACCTGTGGCTTAATAACTGCCTATCCTTGCTATCAGTCAGTCCGTATCTTCGAGTATGTAATACTTATGCTCATTGAACGCCCTCAGTTTCAAATTCAATTAAACTCCTCCATGAATGATCATGCTGATGCATACGTAAAAATTGTCCTCAACTGTGTTACTATTAGACGCAGAGCAAATAATTTAACTTCAACTGTTTTGTTGCATTATGCGTTGAAGAAGCGTTTGTTAACTAGCTTCATGTCTATCTCCTATTACAACTTTGAGCGAGTGCAGGCTCCAGGCTGTTTTCGTACATTTACGTTTTTTTTTACCATATCCTTCACGTGGCTTTCATTTTTCCCGCAGTCTGAAAGTTTGTCATCTGAATATTGGACTTCCCAATCTAGAAACGTATTTCGTTTTGTAGGCCAGAAAATAAGTATAAGTTTGTTTACTTATTTGAAAATACAATACAATTTAATACCATTAAAAGATGTAATGGAAAGTACGCGTCTGGACAGCATATTTTCACTGTGGAAATCAGATATTGTATACTTGATACGATTATTCCCCCTCTGACAAGTGTCCCTATTTCAAGAATGCCAAGAAATTTGTGAGGCATGTGTGACTACTAATATTACGTCCTAACTATTAAGTATAGTTTACGAGATTATAATTACACAGATGCCATTCAGATGGTACCAATTTACAATAGATGGATCAATGATTGAAATTAAACTTTTGAATTTTTTTCTAGCTGTCAGAGGCTCGCAATTTTTAAATATTAAGCTTTCTTTGTGCAATCCTTCTATGAGTTTTGAAAAAATGGGCTTTATTTACTCGTCTTGTTTGTTAGATTTAAGAGTTAGTTGGTAACGTCTTGAAAGTGTGCTCGATTGAAGAGCGTGCCTTGTGTTCTCTATCTTTCTACCCGATTCTCGAATTTTGACTTCCAACATTTTAAGGCATTGCAGAAGACAAGGTGTTGATTTTTGTGTTCCATGTAATCAGTATTTCAGCTGAAACAAGGTGCTAATGCCCATGTTACCCGTTATTGTCAGAGGAAGTATTAAACTTTATTATTAATCTTCTATGTCATTCCCTCCGAACTCCAGAGTGTGGGAAAAACTCCCCTTGACAATGGATGTTATTTTATGCTTAGCTTTATACACCACGTACGTCATTCAAACGAGATTTCGTAAATGCATCATAATTTTGTTTAATTTGAAATAAAGGTATGGACAAGAGACTTCATACTATCAATATAGTTTATTGATATTTCTATAATAGCGTGTGCTTCATGATTCGCTAGTTAGAGGCATTGAGGCCGCTTCAACATTAATTCAAGTTGTCCGCTGGTCCATACGCCATAATGCCACCTAATACTGTCGTGATGCTATCTAAGTCCTTGTGCCTACAAGCAAAAATTCAAAGGCTAGCTCATTTTCCCCACAATATTACCCCCAGAAGTATTGTCTACATATAATTTACTGTTCTTTTACTTGACAATTCAATTCACAGTAACTTCGCTCAACCGGATTCACGTCATCCCGGTTGATTAATTAACTAATACAGTTCAGTCGCAGTTATTTCTAGTCCACTTCTGCTTAACAGAAACTGGGCGCTGAACTGGGCTAAAAGAATCTCCATCATGGAAAAAAAAAAAACTCCAAATTACTATGTTGCCAGCATGGCGTACTAACAAGTCTTTACTTAGAACATAATGGTTCATATACACAGTATATATGAGCTCAAGGCCTGCAACTGTCTGCTCTCCCCTTAGCAGAACATATAATTATAAGTGAATAACAAAATTGAAGCACATCGACCGAGATGCGAAATTTAGTCCAACTTCATACAAAAGGGACATTTACAATTATTGCATCACGTACATAATACATCAAACAGAAGTCGTCTTTACAGATAATTAAGTTGAAAATAATCTACAACTAAACATGTCGCCATCTTGAGGCGACTGCAATGACCTTACACTACAGGCAACAGGTGTTCACGAAGCTGCTAGTTTGTACCCACTTCAAGGTTAACTCAAGTAAACGAAGTAGAGGAAGAAATGACTTGATCAAATAGCACGTTATGCGAGTCGCCTTCCTCGATTTCCAAAGACGCCTGCTTCACATAAGTAATTTGATACTAAAATATCGAGTGTTTACTATGCAACTCAAATAATCGTGAGTCGAGCTTCAATAATAAAGAACACAAATAATTATGACTAAAACAATATTTTAAATCAATGAATAGCCTGTCGAGATATGGGTTGAAGTATGATCTTGCCTGAAACGTTTAGAATAACTAAACGCAACAATGATTACGTATTAAAATCTAAATTATCGGATATTCTTTCCAGTTATTTCTGCAGAACACATGATACAGGCGCAAGCATATACGTAAAGCAATAATGTTTGTGAACACAATTATAGAATCACAATAGGATTTACAACTAAGTTTCCTTTAACAAAATAAAAACAAATTAAGAACACACTGATGAACAAATTAGATGCATGTAGAAAAATACTAGGATTACAGGAGCTCAATTTCATTGTAGGAAATATATTTTATTACAACTTAAGAATTCCCTAATCATTTACTCACGTAGACGCGTAAGTTATGCCAGTTTAATTGTACTGCGTTATATATCCATTACCCACACACAAAAACAACAATATACGTCACGATCAAATATAGTATTTTTACAATCCATTACGGAGACGATTAACGTAGACTACAAACCACAGCCACAATTTTCCTCCCAGGAACAATGTTTTTCCTGTCGAAGTCGCACTCTTGAGCCGAACACTACTAATTGAACTTATTACTACAACCAGGCATCATTCCAATCTATGAGTTCGGTTAGAGCAGCTTCAAGGCGGACCTAACAATTATATGGTCCATAATAATAAAACATGAAAATAGTCATGTGATTTGTAAGCAAAATGCTTCACTACTTACCACGCTTTTAAAATGTAAATTCGTTTTGTAGGTCAAGTCATTGTACAAGTGCATTACCAGTCAATCAATCATTGAAAAATTCATACTTCCAGTCTGCCAGGACAGTCAAAACTAGATATATTCAAGCAAAGAATCGTTAATTTGGTCAGTGAATAAATAATCCAATTCTGCATCCGTTGCACAATTCTTACCGTTTCAAAAGAGACGCTATCATTACCGTAAATACTTTTTCCAACACTCGAGTAACAACAGCTTTATGCTTTTACTTTGAATGAAAGCGTTCAACATGGCACTTCTGTTTCATTATTATACTTCAAATCGACCGCAATGCATTTACTCTATAGTTGTTCCGATGCAGTAGAATTTTTGCCATGAACTTTCTTGGTATCCACTACTCGAGTCTCTTGTTCTTGGTTAGCAGTCGCTGATTTATTTCCAGCATCTCCATCACTTGGGGCATCGCCTTCTGGTAACGAAGAGTTCGCTGTGGCCAACGCGCTGCCTTGGTTGGACTCAAGCTGCTGGCGCCACATGTCTGCATACAAGCCCTCCTGAGCTATAAGCTCATTGTGCCTGAAAAAGTGAACAAATTAACAGCAGTACAAATAATAAATTCTAGTTAATTTCTTCTACATTACTAATTAATACGAGCCAAAACACATTCGTGAAAATTCCATTCATTAACATTCATCGTTTGAGGACGTTCACTGGTCATGATGCTGAGGTACTTGCCCTCGCTAGATGAACGGCATCATTAGTCATGGTCAAAAACTATAACTAAAATCATTATAAATAGAACTTTCTGTACCTGCCCTGCTCGACGACTCTTCCATCTTTGAGAACTAATATGGAGTCAGCATTGATGATCGTCGAGAGTCGATGCGCCACGACAATCACGGTTCTGCCCTGACACACGGTGTTCAGCGCGCTCTGCAATCACAATTACGTTCAGAATCTGGCTTGGAATAAATCTCATAAAAGGGACCAAAATTATATTTTATAGAATGGTTCACGAGAAATGTGTAAGAAAATACCTAACGACTGATATTAAATTACAGGCTGTGGCGTTTCTTTCTCATAACTAACATTTCATGCCTCGCAATCATGCAAAGAACTTTGATTCGCTATTGAGAAAACGAGCTTGCGATCCGGTGTGCCGTGCTGCCATTGAATTTATCGATGTAGGTGCATTATTTCCGTGCATTAATAAGTTTCGTAACTGTCATTTAATCTTTCTGAATACAATTTCTTTCTTTTTCGAAAGCAACCTGTTAAGCAATTTTAAACGTAATCTACTACTGATTTAATCTGATGTCATTAACGTAAACCGTCACAACTGTTCACCATTGCTACAAATGAACGTTCAACTCGCCTGTACATTGCGGCCACAGCTGTTCATCATGAACGACATCATGAACGTTCAACTCGCCTGTACATTGCGGCCACAGCTGTTCATCATGAACATTCAACTCGCCTGTACATTGCGGCCACAGCTGTTCATCAAGAACGTTCAACCCGCCTGAATATTGCGGCCACAGCTGTTCATCATGAACGTTCAACTCGCCTGAATATGTCGCTCAGTCTTGGTGTCGAGGGCGCTGGTGGCCTCGTCGAGGAGGAGGAACGTGGGCGCCTTGAGGATCGTCCGGGCGATGGCGACGCGTTGCTTCTCGCCGCCTGAGAGCTTCAGGCCGCGCTCCCCAACCTGCGACGTGCAATGACATGACAATATTATGATGTAACAATGTGAATACTTTATGATGTAACTATGTGAGTACTTTATGATGTAACTATGCGAGTACTTTATGATGTAACTATGTGACTGTCTAATGATCTAATTACGAGATAAATAATGAGTCCTGAATGGATACGTCCTCGACCACAATGGGGACGGGTCCGCCTTCAAGATACCATTCCTGGATGATAGGCAGATATCCTAGCCACTGGACCACATGTAGGAGCTTAAGCGCCATAATGATTGTGTCGAGTTAATAATTCACAGAGTCAGGTTCTCAAGTTGAATAAAGTATATTCATCAATGTGTATATTTATCACTGTTGGAGTGTTGGTTATGTCATCACTTTCCACGCCACTACAAAATATAAAAGATTTCGGAGTCAAGAATTTGCTATGCCACGCTCAGCGTAGATAGGAAAGAATTCATAGAATGATAAATGATAATAAATTATCCTTACTTAATTTTTACGACTGATAGTGGCCGATTTTTTGCAAAAGTTAAAAACACCTCACTATAATTAAACAAATAAAAAATAGGGTCTTTCATTATTATTTCTGTCAACTTCACCTTTGTTTCGTACTGTTCAGGAAAGTTAAGAATGCTGTTGTGGATGTCAGCATATTTGGCGGCGTTCTCGACCTCTTCTTGGCTCGACACAAACTTTCCGTACTTGATGTTGTACCTGCGAAAAATTGAGCTGTGTCTGCAAGTAGGTTCATCTCAAGATAATAAGATCAGCTCAAATGACAAAGTCAAAATAAATGGTTAGAACCAACAGAAATTACAGAAAAAAACATCAACATGACGAATATAACCCGTACCAATAAGAAAATAGTCGAGTTTTTTTCCATATAGTAAAATAACTATTTATTTCCAGTAACTGCCATGAAATACCAAACGACCCTGACACATTAAGCAACAGTAACGCAACACGTATTGTGCTTCGACTCGGTTTCCACAGCAGGGCCCCTGATTAAGAGCAATAACGGGACTACTGACTTAGCAAAGTCCCGGACCCAGCAGCAAAGCTTCTGACCCAACGTAGACCCATAACAAGCAGAGCCACAGACCCAGAGGCTATCTTAACCAAGCAGAGCCCCAGACCCAGCGGCTATCTTAACCGAGCAGAGCCCCAGACCCAGCGGCTATCTCAACCATGCAGAGTCCCAGATCCAGCGGCTATCTCAACCAAGCAGAGCCCCAGACCCGGCGGCTATCTCAACCAAGCAGAGCCCCAGACCCAGCGGCCATCTCAACCAAGCACAGCCACAGACCCAGCGGCTATCTCAACCAAGCAGAGTCCCAGATCCAGCGGCTATCTCAACCAAGCAGAGCCCCAGACCCAGCGGCTATCTCAACCAAGCAGAGCCCCAGACCCAGCGGCCATCTCAACCAAGCAGAGCCACAGACCCAGCGGCCATCTCAACCAAGCAGAGCCCCAGCCAGACCCAGCAGCTATCTCAACCAAGCAGAGCCCCAGCCAGACCCAGCAGCTATCTCAACCAAGCAGAGCCACAGACCCAGCGGCTATCTCAACCAACACTGTTAGAAAAAACGGTTAAAAAACGGTCCAGCTGGCGTTCAAGTGGCCGGTCGCCCCGTGAAAATAAACTGTTTCGCCGTTTGTATCAGATGTTTTACGGATTTCTAGTGTTAAATTAGAATAAAAACGGCGACACGGTGTTTCTTTTCACGTGCCGACCGGCCACTGAAACGCCGGTAATACCGTTAACACTTAGCGGTAATTTTTCTAACAGTGAAGCAGCAGGCCCCCTCACCCAATAGTGTCGTTGAACAAGACTGTGTCCTGAGGCACGACGCCGATGGCGTCACGGAGGCTCTGCTGCGTGTAGTCGCGCACGTCGCGGCCGTCCACGACGATGCTGCCGCTCACTACGTCGTAGAACCTGAACACGAGCCTGATGATGGTGCTCTTGCCTTCACCCGTGGCGCCAACCTGCAACACGTACACTGATGACATGACTGCCTGCAACACGTACACTGATGACATGACTGCCTGCAACACGCACACTGATGACATGACTGCCTGCAACACATACACTGATGACATGACTGCCTGCAACACGCACACACTATCAAACTACGATTGAAAAACTCGATCAAAGCAGGAATTCATGTCGGGGAAAAAAACGAAACATGAAGTGAAGCAGTAAAGTCAAACGTTGTAAATAATGGAGAAAAAGTAGATAACTATTAAATTTTAGATATTCTCAGAGCATCTCTGAGAATCAATGGTAATGGTCAAATGCCATTTCGGATCATTGTTGATGTAAAATAATAATCTTCTTACGGGGATTCAAATATGTCAGTTTTGCGGTGCAATCAATGAATGTTTGAAATCGACCAGTTCGCTTTGACGGACGTTAAAAACGGCTCGGTAAAAACCGATGTTCATTTCAATAAGTAAATGTTCCCGCAGAAATATTTCTAATTCGCAGCAATAATTGAAGGTGTACATTCATTTCTTTGCAAGTCCATTCAAGGATCAGTACGTATAGCCTGCCCCTCACTATAGTATAGCCTATAGGTATCACATCAGTAGCTCCTCACTATAGCCAAGGTCTTGCCAGGCTCGACCACAAAGGACACGTCCTGTAGGATGGTCTTCTCAGGCAGGTAGTGGAAGCTCACGTTGCGGAACTCAATGCGGCCCTGGGGCGCCTTCAACTCGATGGCTTCAGGCTGAGGCAGAGAAAATGCATGCAATTAATTTGTCACATAATTTTCACATAAAAGTTACATACTCTACGCATCGGAAAAATGTTAACATATTTGTATTGAAACCAACCAGTGAACATTTTAATTATGATAAGCTGCCATCAGGAACTCACTATAGCCAAGGTCTTGCCAGGCTCGACCACAAAGGACACGTCCTGTAGGATGGTCTTCTCAGGCAGGTAGTGGAAGCTCACGTTGCGGAACTCAATGCGGCCCTGGGGCGCCTTCAACTCAATTGCTTCCGGCTGAGGCAGAGAAAATGCATGCAATTAATTTGTCACATAATTTTCACATAAAAGTTACATACTCTACGCATCGGAAAAATGTTAACATATTTGTATTGAAACCAACCAGTGAACATTTTAATTATGATAAGCTGCCATCAGGATACTCAGGGATGGAAATATCCATTGGTTTTATACCTGAGATCCACGGGGCACCAACCTAAAAAGTTAAAGCAATGTTTGATTCGAACATTTAAGCTGCATGCAGCAGAATTTTTTTTGTGTACGTGTAGAAAATTTCAAATTTGACATATGCTGATGTTACAATTATCTTCAAAATTAAACAATTTTATTCAAATTATAATTACACAATTACATTCGAAAATGTAAAATTTTCCAGTTAAACCGGCAAACAACTTAAGGTTATCTTATGTGATGTTGAACAAAAAAAACTATTTCCAAATTTCATAAAAATGCCCGTTTTAAAACTTTTTGAAATTCAATTTGCTAGAGGAAAAAATTATTTCTAAATACGATTGGAAACAAAATGACGCATATATAATAAATTTAACCTCGAGAGCTGCACTAAACAAAATGATGCATATATAATAAATTTAACCTCGAGAGCTGCACTCCGCAACTTATATCGCCAGCTTCAACTACCCCAGCAGTTAAAGTAATTGTAATTTGTATTGACTGTTAAAGTTCCCATTCAGGATGCACAAGCTGACTCACACTATCGACGATCTCCTGAGTTTCCTTGAGAAGATCGAACATATTCTCCATGTCAATGAAGTTCTGCTGGATCATCCTGTAGTAAGTGCCGAACCAGTTGAGGGGCGAGTACAGCTGTACTATGTACGAAGCAAAGAGCACATAGTCGCCCACGGTGAAGCCTGAGTTCTGCGTCGCCACGTACTTCACGCACAGCAGAGAACCCGCCAACAGGCCTACGTTGATCACAATGTTCTGTAGGCTGTTCAGCAAACCCAGGCTGAAGTTCGATTTTAGCTCTTCAACCTGAAACATAAATTTACGGTCATAAATAGGCTAACTGAATATTTTATCATACAAAAAGAATTGACCTATCACATATAAATGCAATTTGATAGTAAATTAATCACAGAAGATTTGTTAACCACTAAAAACCACTCGTTTGTCTCATCATGAAATAAGAAAGTCATTGTTTGCAGCAATAGTTCTTCGGATAAAAGCCATGGCATTAATCAAAATGCGACATCCGCTCTCTGATTATCTGGTTTCTGCATTTGAAAAGGTTATTCGCGCTGCTGGTTCCTGGCTCCAGGTATAAAAGCCACGGTGAATCAAACTAAAAACGAAATCAGAGCAAGCGGCACCTGGTAGTCAAGTATAGCGGAGCGGTAGCGGCTGATCTCGTAAGGCTCCGCTCCATAATATTTGACGGTCTCGAAGTTGAGGAGCGAGTCTACGGCCTTGTGCCGCTGCTCGTTGTCAGCCAGGTTCATGGAGCGACGGAACTTTGTGCGCCACTCCGTCACGGCGATCGTCACCACTGCACGACACAACAGCTTAGAGGCACGTGCATGAATTGTAGCGCGCGCTCATGAACTTTCAATAACCTAGAGACTAGAGAGTCCTGGACCATTGTAATACTTCTCGATGAATTGCAACGCACAGAACTCATAATAAATTGCAACAGTTTGGATTTCTCAATGAATTGCAGCAAGTTGCTTGATTGTCAGGTACGAAAAGACAAGAAAATATTTGAACTAACTTTTTACGAAGTTGAAATTATGACATGAATAGAAAATGAATACGAAAAAACATAATGAGCATTCGAATACAATTGCAACGAAGTTAAACGATGACAAAACTATGGAACCAGATTTCTCGGGAAACTTTTGTTAATGCTTAGTATATATAAAAAAAGTATAATACAACATCCATTTTACGGCAAGGTTCAACTTTGAAGCTGCATGAGACTTCCATCTAGAAATAAGTTCATTTACGCCTCTAGCTTAGCACGTGGGGCAGTGTTCTCACAAATAGTTAAGAGTTCTTACTCCGTTAGCCAATCACTGACGGCTTGTAAACCTAAATCTACAAATCACAAACAAGAAATCGGCGGCTACGTGTACTTGAGCCGCTACCTGTACTTAGGCCGCTACGTGTATTCAGGCCGCCACGTATACTTAGCGAGTTCTTATAGTTCGACCTCTGAGTTACACTAAGGGCCGTGACCACAACTCGTACACAACATTAACACAAAATAAGGGCACTTTTGTTTCACTCATCACAGATAAACAATACGAGTGTAGTGGATGGAACACTCACCGAGGTAGAAAGTCATGGTGAAGAATACGATGAGCCCAAATATGTAATTGAAGGCTGCAGTGAAGTACACGATTGCCACCAGCAAGTCGATGATTGTCGGCGCGATGCTGTACAAGAACGAAATTAATCAATTACTAGGTTAAGGATTGTTGTTGTGATGCATGTCAACATGGCAGACATGCGATGAAATTACAATGATTCAACAGTGAACAAATGCCCGGAAGATGAACAAACAAAACGATAAAAAAAACATAGAATGAAATAGAAAAAGGTTAGTAAGTTTCGCTTTTAAATTTAAAACCCTTCAAACAAGTGAGCTCAAAAGAAGAAGCTATCTCGTTTGTAAGCTCTCGTCCTGGGCAAGTTTTCATAAGTTACATCATTCAGTTTTAGACTCCCGCTAAATGTGCGCCCAGAAAAAATTGTGATTGATAAATTGGCGTATTAACGAGTCAGGACGTGACACGTTGCTCATTATAGGTGTCTTTTTCTGGGTCATTTAAAACGGATTAGCACGGACCACGCAAATCAATACCATAAGAAAAAAAAAAAAACTTTTTAACATAGTTTACTGACAGGACTCTTTGGAAGCAGCTGAATCAAAACAACGAGCAAATAAAAAACCTTGGAATGTCTAAGGCGCGCTGGCTTAAATTCAGCATCACTGAACCAAAAACTAATCAAAAAAGTTTTTTTATGCAGTACACTGATAAGACCTGAGCTGACCTGAAGACGATGGTGCTGAGGAGCGAGTTGATAGAGTCCGTGCCACGGTCCATAACCCGCAGGACTTCACCAGTCTTCCTGCCGAGGTGCCACCGTAGGGACAAGCTGTGCAGGTGGCTGAAGAGCGACAGCTGCACCTCCCTGGACGTGTACTGCTGTACGGGTAGCCAGGCCATGCTGCGCACGTTGTTCAGCAGGCCCATGCTACCAAACCCGCCCCCGCTCAGGAACTTCAGGAATACGAACACCAACACCAGGTCCCAGCAGAAGGCTGCTGGCGAGCCGTCGCCCCCTAGACGGTCCACTAGTTCCACGGAATATAAATTAAGATCAGGGAGCGGCGACGCGGAGGAATATTCTCAATAGAACTTCTTCTGAATATTGAAAAATGAAGGGACTTATACACATAGACGCAGTTCTACTGTCAATTGCATGACAGCACGTAATTTAAGATAAAAATACACATAGACGCAGTTCTACTGTCAATTGCATGACAGCACGTAATTTAAGATAAAAATACACATAGACGCAGTTCTACTGACAACTGCAGGACAGGACGTAATTTAAGATGAAAAAAGTAAACGTAAAGTTTTCAGCGCACAATAACGAGGGCGGCATTGAAAAATAAATTTTTCGGGATATTTATGCTAGTAAATCAACCTGAATATGCAATAAAAACTATTCGGAGAGACATGAACTACCCGTCGTCTGTTGGGCTGCTTGTGTTCTAAATGAAAAAAATGACAAAATTCGATGTATGCGACGAATTGAACAGTTCAATTGAATTTAAGCAGTAACTACTTTATATTTCGAGTGTGTAATGCAAAAGCTAGAGTTAAATATTAAGAAAATTATTTCTAGTCAATTTCAGACTGAGTTTAGTTATTTTCGCTAACAACTTTCCTACAACCATGTTCTCATTATTCACGTTGGAGTGTATAAAAACTCTACGTTTTATTTGTTTGCGGTCGACTTGGTCGGTATCTAGCATGAGGTCACACCGATTTTTTTACTATATAGCGGTACTAGTCCGATAGAACTCGGCCCTATATTAAATTATTTAGCGTTCGACTTGGTCCGTATCTTGTTCAGGTCTCACCGATTTTTTTACTATAAATCGGCACAAAAACGATAATTAATTCATCCGGAATTCAACAGAGGCTAATTTGGGGTTAGTTCGTAGGATGAAATCGGATACGAAAAGTTTTCATTTAGTAACACGACTTTGGTCAGGGGAATATTAAGATAACGGACGATGATATTAATGCGAACGGTAGAAATAATATTTTGAAGGGTAGAAAAATGTTATTGTTATGCACGCAATTTTCTAGGTTTTAGGAAAACATATCAAGGAAAACATTAAAAGAATAGGCGGCAGGCCAAATTTGGCATATTCTTCAAGGACAGTCGAATTTTTTTTCTAGAGCGTGACCGACATTACCTTTCGGTGCCAAGTTCACCTGTCCAGGTGAGATTAATAGTCAGTGCGGGATAGAAGTTTGCTAATAAATAAATTTACGACTCAATTTGCAAATATGTCTGAATTGCCATTTATAAACAATCTCAAAAGACTCGTCTGATCATGGGAGTTGATCGCCTTAATGATGACGAAAACGTCGTCTTTAAAAATTTTATCTGCAGATACTTCAGCTTCAGAAATGTTTTTTGTACCTAAAGGCATGGAAACGTGCAACCGTCGCTAGGCAAATGAGTAATTACACAGCAGAGGGCTCGCAAACACGAAAATCAGGAGTATTGACACATGGCTTTGAATTAAACAGAATAATGGAGCGCCACTTGATGACATCATAACCCGCGAGTGCAAGTGCATGCTTACAACGCGATTTAGAATAATTAGTTAACAGGGGCAATGATAAGAAACGTAATAGATAAATATTATTAATCAGCTATCATTACCATTATCTCAATAAATTATTAAAATCGATTTATTGCTTACTGACAGATCCACTATCACAATATAGCACCCAACGCTGAGGAAAATGTAAAGTGAACGACACGAAAGCGTCCTCGTTACAATTAACGATCTCTTCAGCTTCTCACTAATCGTGACCGTAAAGGTCTGTTCAGTGCATATGACCAATACGCTCCTTCTTATAGCTGAACCATGGAGCAATATATCAAGGAATAATTCCTACCTTGAAAACACGCGTGAAATCACGGCTAACAAGTCTTTCCTGTGTGGTGAATAATTGAAATTTACGACCAAATAGTTTTCAGTGGCAATGATGATCGACCGCAAGCAAAAATGGAAAAATAAGGAACATAAGAACTCATATCCCGTAATACAGAATAATAATAAAAAATCACTATTGTGATTTCCAACATTTCCTCAGAGCTTACACACTCGACCTTAAAAGTAAAGCTAAAAATAAAACACAAACAAATGAAGGTAGCAGTTCACAAACATCTCAACAGCACAAATGAATATCTACACAACATAAGCAAACAAAACAGAAAGCTTATGGAACAATCACAGCGCAACGTGAAGCACGTTTGCTAAGAATTCGACTTAACCTGATAGAACTCCTAACGCGAGACCAACATAATCAGTGAGCAAACACAGACGAACTATTTAATGTCGCTGAATATTTTTTAGTACTGTCGGTTGAAAGGGACGTCGACGTGGTCGGCGAGACGATTATTATAGGAGCGAGCGATTACATTTGTTTAAGCATCGACGCAGTATTTATAAAATTCCAGAGGGATTTTTTCCGCGCAAGCGTATATAAACCAAGGACGAAAACTTGAACGCAAACCAAGACACGTTAACGCCGACGGAATTTCATGCCGCAAAGCTCGTGATTCTTCAAATGAATGTTCAAGGGAAAAGGAAAATGCAACGTTTCGTTCTGTTCAGCAAATATTTCTACCATAGGCTCAAATAAAACCTTACAGGGATAAAATGAATTAGTAAATTCGGATCATGAATATGGACCAAACATCATGAGGAATTTCAAGTGCAACAGGTTTTTCCATGCACAGCGGTAACACATATGTGTTTAATTAAAACACATATTTTTCAATAAAATATCTTATTGGCGCATGAAGCCGCACCCAGTCATTTGGTGTCCGACGGATTCGTACTGATCAAGCTGAGGCAATGATCATTGATTGCCACAATAATAGTATCATCATTTGATAAATTTAACGCAAGATATCAGTGGAAATGATGTTAATGGAAAATTAATTTAAGGACCGCTGTTCCATAGCATGGTCCGTAAGACCGAAGTGCAGGCAAGTCATTCAGCTGGAGACGCTGGCGTCGCAAAGTCCGTACGCCGTCTGACCGACACGAGCATCCCGCGTCGGCACCACCTATGTTTGAACCACCACTTGAACTCGTCCACATGCTCCTATAACTTCTCCCTAATATAACGCCAACATCTTCTTTCTAAATTAATACTCTCGTCTTTTACACGCAACATAATTAAACAAATCCTTGACAGAGATCAAGCTACGAGGTGCTTCTGATACCACAGGTCTCTAGCCTAATTAAAAAGAAATAAAAGTAATAAATCTAAAATCTAATCTAAGGCCTCACTCAAAAGTTCAAGAAGATATCTTGTTATTCTGTTGTTGAATCTATAAATCAAATTAAATATACTTTAAATTGTGTCTCAGAAGGGATTTTAACACCACGTGCCCTCTTCCAGCCAATAATTCAACAAAACACTTCGTCTTCTAAATGCTGTGAATGTAAATGTAAAATAATTGTGTGAATAAACACACTCCTAATAATTCCTTTCACACAGGTTTGGATTGTTTTTGAATGTTCCACGAAAAATTTATTCAACTTTAAATGCATAAATTTATTTGTGGAGAATGGTTCTGCAAATTGAAAAATGGATCGAAATGAATATATAGGATATCTTATCTCTATGTCATTAAAATAACTTGAAAAATATTGAGAGAATAATAAAAAATCAATTTTCGTGTTGAATGATGGATATTTTAATCTTCTTTTTCTATTGCATTGAAATAAATATAATGCCAACATAATGAAGACCAACACAAAATAAATAAACCCAGAAACTACTAGACATGTGGGACAAATAATGGGAAATGACGGTACATTTGAAGGAGATATACGTGCAAATTCAAAAGCAGCATAAAATTTACACAAATTGGGAGCCATGTCATAACTTCAGTTGGTTCTAAGCTCTTCAAAATATTCAGTTAAAATAAAAAATAATGCCCACAATCACAGGTAACATGTGTTATGAATCTATCAGTGCCATAAAAGATGAACATACATTTTGTGTTAACATACATGCACACCTAATTCCAAAGTCCAGGAGCTTTTCCTGCAAACAAGTGATTAGTACAAATTCCACAAAAATTTATTTACTAAATTAGACTTTTTTCCACAAAATTAAAATGAGGTTTAGTCTAATTAAAATTAGACTAAACTTTTTTTTTCCACAAAAAGTTATTTACTATTTATTAAACTCACTGTGGCAGATGACTCGGACAGGAGAGGAGCAAGTTGGGCAGCATTGGTATCAAAGGCAACTGCAGGAGCTTTGATGCCAATGACAAATAGTAGGCAGGTGGCGCTGTAACGCAGCACAAACACTGCAAACTCGCACTTGTCACTTGCACTGCAAGCAACAGCAAGTACATTCTCTTACTATTGCATAATTATGCATATCCTTTCAACAATATGAGGAATCAAAGGAAAGAAAAAAAAGTTATTGATTAATACTAAACTCAGGAACATTCAAATATTAGGAGGATGAATCCTTTCAACAATACAAGGATTCAAAGGAGACAAGAAAAAAGTTATTGATTAATACTAATTTCAGAAACAGTCAAATATTAGGAAAATGAATAATCTTTTTCCAATTTAGGGATGATACATTGCACATAAAAAAAGCAGAATATGATAGAAAGAAAGAAGAAATTACTGCAGCTAACAGAAAATCACATCGCACATACTAATATTTTGCAGACAAATTGAAGAGTAAATTTCATTCCTGAAAAAAAGAGGGCTCATGCCAATCATCTTTTTAGGAATAAAATATTATTTTCCATTTTCTATAGCATTACGGTATTCATTTTATTACTATACATAGCATTTAACTTCAATGTATATATATATAAGTAAACTACATATGTTCTAATGAAATACCAACCTACTGAGGTCAAACCACCAGTCTTCATTCTTCAGGTTAATGAATGTCAAATTTTCAGCAATGAAGACGAGAGTCCAGAAGAGCAGCAGCACAATGCCATGTCCATTGGATGGTACGGTGGGCAGCTGGTAGTAACGCTCCAGCAACACCAGTCGAGCACACAGGGGCCATACCAATAAGTTTACCACAAAGAAGACAATTTCATATCCATAGATTGTCTTGTCACCTGTGGTCAGGAATAGGGAAATGTATTCAAGTTTCTAAGTCAAATTATTTTGTCTTTAAAAGGGTTTTGTTTCAACTAGGCACTCTATAACAAAAGTCAAAATTCAATAGTTGTCTAATTATTGCTGTCTTTAACAGGTTAGGGGGGTAACTTGGCAGTCATTACCAAAAGAATATATATAATCATTCTGATTATTTAGTGGACATAAGTACATAATACATGTAAATAGCATACAACACAGAAATTCCAAGCCAGAAAGTCCCTCTGACAAACAATCTCAAACCTTAGACAAATCTGGCATAGTTTGGAAATAGATAGCTGGGTCCAATTCATAATTATAGTTCCAGCAATTATTGGTCAGTTCAGTTAATGTTGTGCACGTCTGCATGATGAAGATAATAGTAGGTTTCTCCAGCACAGTGCAAGCAACAGTTTTACGAGTTTGTCTCAGTGGGTTTCTCTGCCCTCCAGACTGAAAATGGCAGGCAAGATGGTCTTGATGTTGTGGTTGTTAGTCCAATTACTCCAATGCAGGCCAAATGATGAAGAAGTCTACAACCTACTTTAAAGCAAAATTTATAGACTACAACAACCTCATGGAAAAATCCTTTCTTGCAGCAGTCATTGCTGCATATAGTCTGGAGTTTGACATTATCATGGCTTTCAATAAGCCTGTTTAATTCATTGATAATCTTGTGATGAAGTTGCTTAATTTTAACACTTTGAGACAATTTGAGATTCTTTCCTGAGTCTTCAAATTTCATATTTTACAGTTTACCATTGATTTGTCTTGGAATTAGTTCACTTCTGTCTCACAGTTATTATTTCACCTACTGCTGCCAAGTCTTGAGTGCAGAAATTTAGTTTTAGATGGCAGAATCTTCCTGTTCTGCCATCTAATACTGATTTAAATAGTAAATAATAATAAATAAATAATAATGAAGCATCTTCAGTCTGGAGGGCAGAAGAAACCCCTGAGACAAACTCACAAGCTCCAAGTTTTCTCCAGCACAGCTTGCACTATGCTGGAGAAACCCACCAGCATCATCATCATGCAGAGGTGCACAACATTAACTGAACTGACCAACAATTGCTGGAACTATAATCATGAATTGGACCCAGCTATCTATTTCCAAACTACCAGATTTGTTTAAAAATTTGTGATTGTTTGTCGAGAAACTTTCTGGCTTGAAATTTACATGCTGTATCCTATTTACACATATTACGTCCTTATGTCCAACAAAATTTCACTATTCAATGCTTCTCTTAACTTGAAAATAAATGTTACTACATTCTTAACATTGTTCATATTATTATTTGCTGAACCTACCTTTTGATCTACCAATGTCATCGAAAGAATTGAAAATGATTATACTTGAAAATTTTAAAGCATTCTCTGGTCATTAGTTGCATGCATGTGAACAGGAAGGTTCTGCCATCTAATACTAAAATACATACAGATTCAAGATACAATTCTGAAGTTTTTATAGATATACTTACCAACAAAACTTGCAAGAAGGATGAAATGCACTAGTGTCAACAATGGAATGAAGAACATTAGAACAAATTGAAACACCATGAGTGAAGACTTAGGGCGAATAATAGATGAATCATGTGGAGTTGAATATCGTTTGTACATCAACCACTGGCCAAAGCCAAACAGCAGAAGAAAAAGCCCATATGTGGATGATGTAACAGTATCCAAAAAGCAGTGAGAAACTCCATGCTGAACCCAGATGTCAGTGAAAGTGACATTAGGTGGGCAGTACAACATAATTGCTTTGATTACTCAAATATCTTTCTGAAAAAAGGTTCAAAATAGACATGTTATATAGGGTAATGAACATTAAGCAAAAACTTTGAACTGTCCTCCTTGTGAATTATGATCACATGAAAATAAATTGAAGTACAGGCCAAAGAAAATATGCAATATAATCAAACTTGTCTGCAAGCGGCATTGTGAAAAGCAAAAAGTTGTATCATATTTAGCCTTTAAAAAACACAATTGGTTATTAAAATTTAAGACAATAGTTTTTCAGCATCCTCTCTAAACTTTAGGACTCAGAGAGTTGCCAATTGCCTAGTTGATTCCAATTTAGTTGATTCCAACTAAATTATGCAAAGTCTAAAAAAATTCACATGTTTTACAAAAAAAAACATAGTCTGTCTATAAATTTTTTTTTTTAATTTCCTGAGTTCATTAGATCTTAGAAAATATTACATACCTAGAGGGTTTGATCTATTTCTTTATTAAAAGCCTTTTTTATCAAGGGTGTTAATATTTTAGCCTTTTTAACTTAATTTGCGGAGCATAAATAAACATTAACTGGTTTCATGACCAAACAGACAAGAGTCTATGAACTTTGATCTTTCAATGACACATACCGTACCTGACTAAAGGTTTTAAGATAATACGATTTTTTATACTCGCCTTATTGACTTTTGAGTTGTCTTGGGCAAAAATAACAAAACATAACGTTATATTCTGAACAAACATAGCTTGCATTGTAAATTAGTTGGTTTTTAGGCCAAATGTGGATTTATCCATTTCACTTTGAGAAACTTTAGTAGGTATGTAAATTAAACTATCATCAAAGTTGAAATGGATGTTAGAAATAAAGTTTAAGTAAGACTATCATAAAATAGTTTAAAAAACTACCTACTAATTACTAGCAAAATATAATGCATGTAAAATGTAAATACCAATGTATGCAAATGGGAATTTCATTTCCCTGACAAACATACTAATTTTGGTACTTGCTACAGAATTAGGCTTTTGCATACACTGACAGAGGGGATATAAGAGATGGGTGGGATAAATTGGGACAGTTGTCCCACATTTAGTAGAAATTTTGTAGCAGCTAAACTAATCAAAATATTGCAAAACTAAAAATAGTGGCATAAAGTTCAACATTTTTTCTATCTATGTGGAACCAGCTTCCGCAACTGTTGCACAAGACAGATCCCCCACTCCAGCGAGCAGATGTCACCCGCTTGGTGCAGGCAGGGCAATAGGTGATGGGGCCTGGGTTTAGCTCGATGTCACCACCAAGCAGGATGAGAAGGTACAGGGACCTGGTAGCCGGGTCTCCAAGTCCCCTATCGGAAAAAACAGTTGGTCCAATCCAACTGGGTAGCGCCTCCCAGGACGCAGCACTCTGGGGAGTCATCTCCCCACGGCTCCCCAGTGAGGTTGAGGTGGGGGCGATTTGGCCCTCCCAGAGGAGGCTCGCCATGACGCAGACGCGCCCCCAATAGCGAGTGGGCGATATCGCCCCCTTTTCCCAAAGTGGGCGATATCACCCCCCTAGAGGCAGTGGAGAGATTTTGGGGGGCAGTAAGGAAGAAGAGGCTGATAGGGGGGCGGTAGGGGGCGGCAGTCCAAAATCACAAGTTCAAACGTTTCTTTGACTGTTGTACACAACACGCGCAGCACATGACTCCCAGCCAGCGATGGTTTTTTTCACCCAGATCTGCTTTTTTAACCTCTCCTGGGTTTACGTCTGTGACAAATCAACAACAGGTCTCACAGCCAATTTCCAAATTCAATGATCAAGAAATATCTCTCAAACTAATGAATGTAACTCTATGAAACTTGGTACGTATTCATTAGGACCTAACAGTAATGTTTGGCTAGTGAAAATGTTTTTAATTTTGTCAATTTTGAGTACTATGGCAATACAGGCCAAAATTCACAATGATCAAGGAATTTCGTCAAAACTACGGAACAGATTCGAACAAAATTTAGAATTTACAGTCCTAACTACTGAACAGTAATGTCTAGCTTGTGAAATTTTTTCGATTTTGCCTTTGTTAGCAAGTTTTTTCATTTCACCTTGATTTGTGATTTGAACAGCAATACATGCTTAAATTTGCAATAATCAAGAAATTTCTTCCTAAATACTGAACAGATTGGAACCAAACTTAGTATTTAAATACCTAACCTCAGCAACAGTGATGTTAAGCTTGTTACAATTTTTTTGATTTTGCTTTTGTTTGCGAGTTATAGGGCTATACGTAAACGGCTCTTGGTTAAACCGGTCGGTAGAAAAGCCAGCCATTTCTTCTATATCTGTATAACTCTTGAACGAAAGAAAAATAGAAAAATTGTCATGAGCTAATCATCGCCAATGGGACGTTAGGTATTTATATACAAAGTTTCATTCAGATCTGTTCAGTAGTTTAGAAGAAATATCTTGATTGCCGTGAATAAGTGAATTTAAGCAAAAAATTACCCGGCAATACAGGCCGAATGTAAGGAAGTGTGAAATCAAGAATGACTGAGAAATAAAAGAAAAAACTACCAAACGAAGGCAAAATAGAAAAAAATTTTATAAGCTGGAAAAATTACCATTTGGTTGTTAGGAATGTATATTCAAAATTTTGTTCAAATCAGTTCAGTAGTTTGGAAGAAATTCTTGATCACTGAGAATTTTAGCCTGTATCGCAATATAACTCACAAATAAAGGTGAAATTTAAAAATTTTTCACAAGCTAAACATCACCATTAGGTACTGATGAATAAATGTTCCTAATTTCATTGAGCTGCTTTCATTAGTTTGGGAGATATTCCTTGATAATTGAATATGGAGATCGGCAGTGAGACCTGCAGAAAATTTACCCAAGACGTCCTGGATTTCTAAAGCTGAAACAGTTCAAACAGCTGGAAAACATACTGGTTTACTAAATGGGGCTCTATTAGTGAAATACAGATTTGTGTTTAACCATTCTCTTCTAAAATTGCAGCGTACTAAATTTCAAGAAAGATGGTATGGTTTTTATATGTCTCTATGGGTGGGGGGGGCTAGAAATTCACTAAGGAGCCGAAGGAGGCGGCAAAAAGTTAAAGTTATGTCAAAGTTAAAAAAAATTAAGTTAAAGTTAAAATATTGTGAAAGTTGTCCTGTAAGCATACAGATACAGACGAAATGCAATATGGCTGCTGATCTGATGCTTGCTGTGGACAAGGTCATTGTAAATGCTCAATGGCATGTAAATGGAGACATTACTTATCATACCAATAATACAGTAAGTAATGTAAGGATAGGGTAATATCTCAAAAAATGAAGAAAAAATTATAGAAAATGATATTATAATCAAGTTTTATTTTATGTGTCCCAATTGACCCTGTTCCCTGGGGTAATTCGGGATGCTTTTATTTTGTGTCTGCCACCTTTTAAATAGCATATGGAATTTTTTCAGAGATGCCATACAATAGCCCTCATAAAGAACTTTAAAATGAGCCCCAACTTGTTATGAAATGTTTCATGATAAGAAGTTATTAGAAAAAAATTTTCAAAACTGTCTTTTATTACCCTGTTTGATGGTATATCTTAGTGGTTCCTCAAACTTTTTCAGGCTGGCACCCCCTTAGGCTCCCCAATGTCTAGCACTGGGGCCATTTATTTCTTGCTACGTCCTTAAGGTGTCAGAATATGGTGTCAGAATATGGTGTCTAACATTTATAGCCATTTATTTTATATAGCCCCCATTGTCTAGCATTTATAGCCATTTATTTCTTGCTACATCCTTAAGGTGTTGGAATATGGTGTGTTACCCTATTTAGAAAATAGTTTAAAATCAGAAAAACCACAAGTGGCGGATGCAGTGAATATTGAGAACAATAATAATTCTAGAACTAAGCAATAGTTGCTAGGACGTACTGTCAAATGGAGTAATAAGGGACAGGTGGTGTAAATTGGGAGGCGCATCCCACATTTCATAAAAATGTTGTAGCAGCAAAACTAATCAAAATATTGCAAAACTAAAAATAGTGTCATAAACTTCCAACATTTTTACCATCTATTATGTATAAAGCTAGTTAAGAAATCATACATTTACTATCTCTAAAATATCACTGAAAAAAAGTGTGAAAAGTGCGATTAGGGAAGAATACCTCTACTAAGTTCTGGAGGGTGGAAAAAAAATATTTGCCATATTAAAAAATTTTACTTACATAAAAGTTGCACACAGGTGTCAGCTTGGAAACATTTTTGCTGGAATATGCCTACCTCATTCCCCCCAAAAATGGCAGCCATTTCCGTGCACCAGGCCACAGACAGGGTATTAACCCTTTACGCCCTGGCGTGACAAATTCGTCACACAGAAAAAAACATCGGTTTTCCAACAATTTCACGTTTTCTGTCATTTTTTCGAAAAATTCACATGAATGAAAAAAGTCTTAGATTTATTTTTTACATATGTGTACCAAGTTTCAAAGTTATCTGTTGGTAAAAAAAAAATATTTGCCGTATTAAAAAATTTTACTTACATAAAAGTTGCACACAGGTGTCGGCTTGGAAACATTTTTAATGGAATATGCCTACCTCATTCCCCCCAAAAATGGCAGCCATTTCCGTGCACCAGGCCACAGACAGGGTAATAAGGGACACCCTCCAGGGTAATAAGGGCCACTCTTAAAAATGCATTTACAGTAGAACCTCAGTTAGCAAAGGCTCCAGTTAACAAAAAAATTGAGCAACATCAAAGAATTTTGATTAGGTACATTTATCATGCTCAGCAAAAAAAAATCACTTATCAAAAAATTAGTGCATCATTGGTCATCACAAAATTGTGCATAGAATGTCATATATAGAATAATTAGAATTGTGCACCAGCCTACCAGGCATCATAGAATGAAAAATAATTTACCTAAACTATGATTTATTTCTCCAAAACATATGATGGTTGTCACTAAAACATTCCTTTCTGTTTCAGTTCAGGTATGTTTTTTACAATCTTTTTTTTTTTAAAGTGAATTCACTTAACCCAATTAAAATGGTGTGAAATTACAGGCCGTCCTGTAAGCTTACAGATACAGAAGAAGTGC